TTCCCCTGTCTAGACCTGGGCAACCTGGCATTATCCCAGCCCTCGTGCTTTCTTCGGGTGGTATTGCAGCTAGGCACCGGAAGGGTGTTACATTCGAGAAATTTTTTACTAACGTTCCGTCATTCTTCAGGCTTCATGTTATCCGGTGAATGAGGGATCGGCGTGCAGTCTCTAGTTGCTGGTATGGCCTTTCTGGCATAAATGAGGTCTGCTGATCTCGACGATGTCCACTTTTCATCTAGTCGAGACAGACACCTTAGACAAGCAGTTTCGAAAACTGAGAGCATACCTTTTTTAACTCGCTTCCATTCAGCCTTCAGGAAATCTGCACAATCCGCATGATTGTGCGCTTCCAGTAGCTTTCTCGGTAAAACAACACGATACACTTGAGCTACCAAAACCTGCCAAGGTTGGTGAATGAAATCGCTCTGCTTTGGCACGCTCAGTGCTGACTGGTAATAATCATTCAGCTGTAACAAGCTTTCAGTGTCTAGCTGTCATGCCACCCTAAGAAGGCACAAGGGCTGGGATACTTCCAGACGAGAAATCGGGTTCGAATCACAGACCGGGTCAGTAAATTCGCGCTTTAACCACTGAGTCATTTCGCTCTTCCTCGGTGGGAAGACAGCACCGCTGTTTCCGTAAACATCGACATGCTAGTCGTCCGAAGAAAACGCCTTACTGCCTTCCTATCACCCTGAACAACACGCCTCAAACATCCAGACCGTTTCTAGTAGTACGGGGACTCGCGGTTCTTCGTCGGGCTCCTCTCGTTAGTCTCCTTCACAAAGCTGAATCTTTAGAAACTGAGTTCTAGCCAGTGTATCCCACGAGGTCGTTGCAATGCAGAAGCCCGACAACCACGACAAGGTGACAGATTTAGGTCGGGCAGGGAACTTGAATAACACAAAAAAGACCTATCGTCGTGCAGATTCCACTGTATCACCTCCATCATAGGCAGCGAAGTGCCAGTAGTTGGAAAGTGTTTAGCTGCCACACAAACACGGAAAATGATAGCAATAGTCGAGAAATAAATAAATAAATAAATCGTTCAGCTATAGCACCCTTCCAGTACCTAACTGCCATGCTACCCGAAGAAAACACGAGGGCTGGGATACTGCCAGGTTGCCCAAGCCTAGACAGGAGAAGTCGAGAGGCAGAGGTTGGGTTCGAACCACGGACCTTCCGGTCAGTAAATCCGCGCTCTAACCACTTGGGCCATCTCGCCCCAATAGTCGAGAGTGAAAATAGAAGAATACCTCTCTTGAAAAATATTCTGGAGCAAGCTAACTGCATTTTCCAAGGCTAGTAAAACACACAAAACTGGGAAGAACTTCGAATCAGTAAGCCATCAGCGAGATTGATCAGACGTCCCTTGTGTACCCAGTTTAAAACAAGCCCAGCATACAAAGGTAGGTAACATTCAGCTAGACACTCTGGCTATGATGTTAAGGCACTCATATTGGTTACACGCCATGTTTGTGTGGTTCCCAAACATAAACAAGGAAACCCACGCGGACCTCACCCAGAAAAGCTTGCAGAGCCTACAGAGTTTAACATGACAGTAGTTGCTTTCATTTCGTTGTTTCTTCACAACCTGTCCTTCATAAATCTTTCAGGGCAAAGAAGTGGAATAGAAAACACAACCTCCATCGGCAGACAGTAGTTGGAAATATGTCGTACGTGCCCAAACCAGCTTGACATGACGAGCTTTACCTGATGCCCAAGTGAATCCGATTTATTATATCGTATTCGCTTGTGAACGAACACACCGCGAACAAAATTCAACCCGCTAACGTCTGCTACGCTACTAAGTGATCGAAGACCAAAAAGGCTCGAAGGTGAAACTTACAATAAATACATCCCCTGTCTGGTTGAAATCCCACCTGTCCGGAGACTAAGTCGTGGCTCTGTTCACTCGTTTTGAGGAAACCGTCCTGAGGGAAAGTTCATTTTGGGAGCGATCATTTTAGATAGAAATTTCATACATCCTATCTTTTAATCCACAGAGTTGCAATAAGGGCAAAGATAGAATTTGATAAGTCGTTCTCAGATGGCATCGCCGTAAATCCGTCACGAAGAGACTGGACCTTACCGTGATGTGACGGTTTGCGCACCTCAGCGATCCATTGAGCTATAATGAACACAGAGTCTCTCATACCAGGGCCTCCAGGTTGGGGGTTGGGACACGTGGCGACTTGTTCCCTAGAGATGGTAATGCATTTGCATTTGCCGTCAAATACCGCTGCCTTGTGGCTAGGCTTTTG